AAGAAAAAATACACTCGCTTATGTCCGACTGCATGGAGAGCAGGATGAGACTAAGTACAACTTGAAGTGAAAATATTAAGAGATTTACCAGACATAATGATCGCTTTTAGGTTCCACCACTTTGGGTCATCAAGCAGCTCTGCGAAAGGCCAATCGCCGGATATTAAAGAGTTCTTCTGCTACAAACTTCTAGAACTCATCAAAGTGGGACCCCAGGTGCAATTATTTTAAATTGGTTCAAAAACAAATAATTTATTTCCTACAGGTCAGTGGAAAGGCACCAAGGATGCGGCAATCGTAGACTTCATGCCGAGAGCGTACCATACGTTCACAAACGTCAAGAAAGTATAAATTTCAAATTTTTAACTTTTTTCATGTTTTTTTTTCCATTTTCAGGCATTGCTTAAGAACGATGCATCGATACACTGGGATGTATTTCATATAGACGCATTAGAAGAAAGCAATGAAAAATCGCGATTAGAGATGGCTAAAGCGTGCCTTATGAAATGGGATCTGCTGGCTAAGATCGGCTTGGCCAATGAACTTATCAATCCTGAGAAGGATCGAATGAAGCGACAGGATATCGGCTTCAAAGGCTTCAACAGTCCTGCTGAGGAGCTTGATCAGTACATTACCGTAGTAAAGCAGAACATAACGAATTTAATTGACATTTTGAATGTTGACGAGTAGTTGTGAATAAATTACCATGAAAACAGGAAATCAAAAAGGAAACTGACATCTCAACAGAAAATTAATCAAACATGGATAAAAATTTTTAAAGATCAGCTCTTTTTAGATCTTCCGGAAATCATTTATTTTTCACTTTCAACAGATCGACTATACTCGCTGTGATTGCTATGGCCGGTTTGGTCATGGCCGGCCGCAACGGTTTCGGAGGGTCTCATGGAAGACATCAACCACTTGNTTGGTCATGGCCGGCCGCAACGGTTTCGGAGGGTCTCATGGAAGACATCAACCACTTGCACCTTTTCTTCAAAACGCTACTACTGAGGCTCGCAACGAGTTTCAAGATATTTTCAATTATCTCTAGAACAAATTGCGATACATATTGACGCGTTGGAAAAATATAGTAAGAAATCACGCTTAGAGATGGTTACAGACCACAGACGTACATTCCACGAAGAGAACCCACAAGTGAGATATTGAAAGCATCCGATGATACTATAAAAATTATTTAAGGCTGCTTCCATACTCGATTTCGTCATAAGACCTTCAGGAGAACAAAGGAGAGATAGATCTAACTCTTTCAGACGATCGGATAGAAAACATCCTCACTCCGATTCTGACAACTCGAGAATCACAAACGATG